CAGTTTGTACCAAGTAGCAGAAAGAAAATAACAAACAGCTCTTAGAGAAAAAGGGGAGCAAGGCATGGTGACACACACAGCCGCGGTCCTCTCACTCTGGGAAGCTAAGGCAAGAGGGTCACAAGTTCAAGGCCAGCCTGGGCAACTTAGTAACTTGCCAGGAGCCCATCTCAAAATAAAACACAAGAAAAGGATTAAGGATGTAGCGAAGGCCTTGGGATCAATCCCCAGTACTGCAAAGGGGCGGGTGCAGGTGCAGGAGAGGGGAGAGAAGGCACTCATTAAATATGATTTTTCAGTACACCTCCTCCTCCCTCCGTGTTAAAGGGCCCTTCTCACTTGACTCAAGGCTACAGGTTCCTCGGCAAGCTCAGTTCATCAGAGTGGACAGCTTTTGCAGATGCTTACAGTGGTTTTGTTGAAATTAAGCTTAGAGTTGAATTTTAAAAGTTGTTGAATTCCATAAATATTATGCTTTTACCCATCTATATGGGGGAGTCTTTGTAATTCTCTCATGTAGAATAAATGCCAAGTAAGCTGTGATCTTGGTATATGCACCACTGAAGGTAAAAATTCTAATCAAGTAATTAAAATAGTTGGTAACAGTCTGAATTACCAGGAGGTAATTTTATATCTGTTAAAATTCATATCTTAAATTATACCTTATATATCTTATAAATAATTTATATCTTAGTTTATATCTTAAATTTGTAAAATTTATATCAGGTAAATTTATATCTGTTTAGATTTCTTAAACCTGTTGAAGTTTAGATTTCTTATAGGTACCTGTTGAATTAAGTGCTGCAAAGCCAAAGAAAAAGAATAAAGAAAGAAATATATTGTACTTTGCTAAGCTACATTCATTTTCTAAGTGGATTTTAAAAGGAAGTGAGAATGTTCCATTTGATTGAATAATAGTGTAGCTAACAGGTCAGTCATAAATTTCAAGTTTATGTAAAAATTTTATAAAAATTTAGTTTAATACACATTTTTTATAGCATGTAACATAAGCCCTCACATAAGCACTGCTGCAAAATGTATGTTCAATTGAAAAAATCAATTTAAAGTGATGGAATAGAAGTAATTGATTTCTCATTCCATATTAGCTCCGTCCTGTGAAATGGTCACTTGATATTTTGCAAGTCAAAAGAAGGCACACTTGATCATGGCTTTGTCCTCTCTGGCTCTGGGACTTCCGGGCAATGGATAGCTATCTCATGTCATAGTCAGTAGCCTCAAGAATCACTGCTCATTCCCTACGCTTGACCCCACATAGGTCACCGTGTGTACCAGGTATAATTATGTATATAGGTAAAAAAAGAGGCCTTTCATTCTTGCCTGGTAGCACCACTCTCCATTCTGCACTGGTCTCTCGCATGTCCATCCTTCCCCTCTGACCTAGATCTCGTTCCCTCTGACCAATCTTCTTGGGAATCTCACTTTAGCTATCACTCCTCCTCCCTGGGAATTAAACGTCGTACTCTCTAGCAGTGATTTCTTTTTACCACCATGTGATTCATGCTTGAGTCGTTCCCACCTTACAAAACCCCTTCCTTCAGCTGCTACCCTATCTTTGTTCCGCATTCACAGCTAAACTTGGGTTATCCATGTTCGTGCCACAGTTTCTTTACATTCTTTCTCTATAACCTGCATCACCAGTCCACTGAAGTCATTTTTGCTAGGGTCATTAGTGTTCGCTGTATCATACTGTATCATTTAATCCAATGGACTCTTCTCTTGGCATGTGTGGGTCACTCCCTGATCCCTGCCCATCCTTCCTAGAGATCTTCCCTGAGCCTCCTGAGGTTCAGGACATCTGTCTCCTGAGGTTCCCTCCTGCCTTCTGGGATCTCCACCACACCATCCCAGTTCCCTGCATTTTGTACACCCTCCTGGAAGGACTCATCAGTCCTATGGCTTGATACATTAATTATCACCGAATGACTGATGACCCACAAATGTTCCTCTCGGCAGGACTCCTGAGCTCCAGCCACACATGTTCAATTATCTCTGAGTAACCCAGTTTGAGGTGTCATGAGTCTCAGCAGCATGTCCAAAGATAAACTTGGTCAGGGATATTTTGAACAGTATGTTCTATACAAAACCCTTCAATATCTGTGCCTCCTGCTCTAAGTAAAAACCCAAGACATTATAATGCCTATAAGGTTTTCTATAATCTGTCTCCACCCTTCACCTCTGGGACCTTGTCTCCTGCTACTCTACTCCCAACACACCCCACTCTAGACACACTGACCAGAACATTCCTAATGCCAAATCCTCTGCACATGCTTTTCCTCTGTGTGTTTTTCCTATAGATGTAAGCACCCCTTGAAGACTAGTCTTTGATAAGGATTTTTCCTCATAGCCCTGTATAAAATTGCAACCTACCCATGAACCAAACATTAATATACTTTTTCTGATTTCTTTGTTTTTATATGGTAATATTTATTGATATTTGTCATATTATACATTTTATTGTCTACCTGCCTCCACTAAACTGTACACTATATTACATCACCATAAGTGGTAAAGCTAGGATTTGAAACCAGATCTGTACAACTTCAAAATCCATGCACTTTTAGTATTCCATAAGCTGACATAAATTTAAAGTAGAATGTATTAAAGAATTATGATAAAAATAAAGTTACTTTAATCTCATAGTAGTTCATGAATATATTTAGTATTAATTAATTCACATGTATGAGCATGATAGAAAGTGACTACCAAGTATTTTTTTATCTTTTGCTAGATATAAATAGTGGAGCCATGAGCTTCATAAAATCTATGCCCTATTTTCACCAACAATGACCGATATCCAAGCCTGCCCAGTTTTATTTCACTACTCTGGCTTCTCTAATTGAAAGATACAAGAGTTAGATTATGCCTTCTTTTTACTGTGCTCTTTGATTCTTTTTCAATGCATAAATAATTAGGAATGAGGAGAAAATATAAACAAGCTCTACTGCTCACTTCCAACTCCAGTACATGAGGAAGTAGGTAGAAGGCAGCTAATGTCAATAAATTGTAGCTTTTATAATGTAATTCCAGAAATACGTCATCAAAGGAATATACATATGCATGAAAACTCTGATTCTTTGTTTTGTTAAAATTAATGTGCTCAGTATAAATGATTTGCAACTTGGACCTTAGTGAAACCTATTGACTCACTTCTTATTACTTGTAGGAAATCTGCGTGAGAAAAAAAAGAAAAGCACCCACAAAGATTTTTCAGAACAGTACAAAAATATGAAAGTGGATAAGTAAATTATGGTGGATATAATCATACTAGAAAATATTTCAAAGTCTAGGTAAGTTTATATTTATGAAGTCTTTCTAAATGGCATGGGAAATTCTTAATACATTAAATAATAATAAAGTAAATATAGTATTATGAGCCCAGAATTTTTCTAATAGCTTTGCATGTATTAACTAATTTAATCCTCTCAAGAAATCTACATGGTCAACAGTATTACCATTTCCATTTTATAGTTGAGGAAATTTCATCACAGAAAGGTATGGACTTGCCCAAGATCCCCAAACTTGTTAAGGGATAGAGTCATATTAAAAATCCCAGGTATAGCCCTACTGTACATGCCACACTTAACAATTTATACAGCAGGTAAAACTGTAAAGAGACTATTATATAAATATATATCTTTAGTATAAAAAGAAAATAATGGATGGAAATATAACTGATTGTATAGCAAATTATACATGTCTTCCTTACATTTATCTTTCTGTTCCATAATTTTATAATGGCTATTTTTCATGTTTATAACCAGGACAGAAAAAGAAGTCATATTATGAACACAATGAAAAATTTTTGTGTTTTGGACGCATGGCTTGGTTCAACTAAGTAATGTTCTTTAAAATTCACGTACAACAGTTGCAAATGATTTCCACTGTTCAAGTACATGCTGCGGGAAGAGAAGAACATTTTGACGGCATATCTATGTTTGGAGCTAAGAGGACCTTAAAGATCATCTAAGCCTATGCTTCTCAGACTGTGGTCCCCAGAGAGGCAGCGATCTGTGTTTTCACAATCCTTTCCACGATCCTGATGTACACTGAATTTTAAGAACCATTGATCTAGGTGTATGGTTCTCTGCCATGGCTGTGTATTAGAATCACCTGCGGTTTTGTTTGTTTGTTTGAGACTTAATACCTATTTTGAAGTGCCAGATATCCTAAGTTAATTGATTTTAAGTGAGGCCATGACTATGTTTAATTTCTTCTTATGCAGTTTAAGTAGAACCACTGATTTAGGGTGATTTAGTCCTTACTACTACTCAAAGCGGTGTCCTTGGACCCACAAAATTGGTATCCTTTTATAACTTTTTAGACATGTACAGTGTAAGGCCCCACTCTGGTCCTATTGAATCAGAATCTGCATTTTCACAAGATCCCCAATTGATTCCTATATACATTAAAGTTTGAGAAGCATTAACCATTCCCCACATTTTACAGAGGAGGAAAACCATGCTCAAAAGCGTTAACATCCTCTTAGAATCTCATTGCTGGGGGGAAGGGATGAGGAAATAGAAAAGTCATACTGGAATGCAAGATACCCATATCTTGTACCCTGAATAACTACTATGAAGACAACAATACACAATGTCTTAATTATTGTAACTCTCCTACTAACCCGTTTTGCAACTCTTTTATTGTTATTTTTTTCTCTTTAAAATACAAAAAATGCAAGATGCTCAAAACTGCCTTAGATTGTGCTCCTTCTCTGTGTTGCAAAGCTTTAATTTTGAAAGCTTTTCCTCCTGTTTCCCTTACCTCCAAGTGGTTTTCTCCCCACAGAATACCTAAAGCTTGATAATGCACAAACGCCGTGTCATTCCGTAAAGAAATTTAGGGTTGGCAGAGGGAGGCTTGGAAATTAAGTACCTGAAAGCCAGTAACTGGCCCCAGAGATTTCCAAGGACTGCTGTCCAGTCCAAGATTCCATGACATCTGCACCCCAGCCTTGAATAGAAACCAGAATGCCGGTATCCAATGCAGTGAGAATTTATTTCATAGTTATCAAAGCAAACCAAAGGTTATCAGTGGGTTGGACATTTAAAGATTAAGTACAGCTGATCGCACTCAACTCTTATGCAGGTAGCTTAACTTCAGTGGTTCTGGTCTCTCTCCGAAGGGAAAATGGAGGTGTTTATGATTCTGTATCATAATGGGTTCCAGGTGACCCAGGCTAGGCGGCTGAGTCAGACCCTCTCTTCTTTGATTTACATGGCAGGATCCAGGCCATCCCTAAATTGAAAAGATATAGTAATGAGCAAATACAGAAAGAGAAAAGAGGAAAAAAGAGCTGAGGGAAAACCTGGAGTGCTTTTCCAAGTCCAAAGTGAGCTATGGCTGCCCTCTCTGCCTCAGAAGGTATGATCATAAATTACTAGTTAATGTTCAGCACTGGGGCTCTGGCCCATGATATATTACAGAGGACAAGATGCCTCCAAGCAAAAAACACTGTAATTGGGGAGCAATAACATCTGTGTCAGTCACGAGACTGCAGTTAAAGTGGACTGAGAAGTTACAGACTGTGCTGCAGATGCATTGTAATAATATGCACATTTATTTTTTGCTAAAATGATATGTCATCAAGATATGAACCTCTTTAAATTCTTTGGTGTCATGATAGCCTGAAGAGTCAGTAGGAGCTCCAGGTTTCTGTTTTAACATTAGCACCATGTTAGCTAACACCTCGAGAGAATTACAGTTTATAAAGCAAGAGTCTGAGGAGCTCAGAATGTGGGCTTAGTTTCCTGGGCCACAGAATCTAGGTCATTGCAGTTCTCTGCTATGTTTTGCAGGTCACCTCATCTCTCTGAGCCTCCTAATCTGGCAAGGTCAAAGGATTCATACATGATAGAGCTGGGACTCAAACCCAGATCTTCTGGCTATAAAACCTGTCATCTTGCTAGTGTACCTCTGTGTATGATAACATTGATACTTAAGTACTTATAATATGAGTAGCTGCTCAGTTATTCGGGGACAGAAACATGTGCAAATTTCTTTTGCTCTTGAAAAGAGAACAACTTCCTTGTGACTTTCCATTTAAAAAATTATCCAGTTGGGTGACAATAGCTAAAATATCTAAATCACCTAAAAATGTTCAGGCCATCCCAGTTGAGGGTAGCCTATAGAGATCTAAGTTGAGTTAAAAACTCTGCCTAGATACAGCCACTTCTGCAGTCCTATTTAGCTCTCGTAATTGATGATTCTTCACTGAAGAGGCCTAGTGGGCCCGAAGCCCACTTTTGACTTCAAAGTGGTGGACCCTAAATCTAGCTTTTTTGTCAAAGGGTGATCAGAATTTTCCAATATTGCACTGAAAGTCCCACGTTTCAAGACTGAGTCCCAAGCAAGCAGGGATCACCCTACTTATCACCATAGTTTCCTTATCCCCTGTCCAAACCGGCACAGGGGTGTTAACTACAACCTCCCACCCACAGCAGAGCCTGAATGAACGCTATGAAAAGACTTCATCGCTCTTACTATGCATCTTGAGCAAATCTATGGGAAGCTTCACCTCCCACTTTCATTCCAAGCTGCATGCCCAGGTACCTAGGTAAGTACCTAGGTTTATTTCTCTGGCTAGCCCTCTTGGCATGCTGCTTAGGTGGACTACCTGCTTAACTTCACCACAGACACTACCTTCTAGGCCTCACAGCTTCATTATTCTCCTGCCAGGCCCATTTATATGGCTTGGTTGCTGGACCAATGCTCAGCAAGGACAGGTGTACTGGGTCAAGCTTAGGCTATTGCGGCTGCCTAGTCCTGTTGCAAATGTATGATATAGTCCTAGATCAAAACTACTGTGCCAGTTTCGTAGTGTCACACAACTGTCACACATCAGCTCTATATGTCGCCAATGTTCTTTATCAAAGCTGGTCATCTGTAGACATACACTTTCCAAGGACTTGAATATACCCTTTTTATGAATTTGTTTTCTTGTTGGTAAGGTTGCCTTTTACTATAGCCTCTTCTTGTACATTGAAATGCTTTACTTATTATGTATTAACCATAAATTACTTCATCTGTTAACAATGAGTCAATTCTTATTATCAGAAAATCCTTTACAGTGAATTGACTTATCCCTAAGAGTCAAGAGAACATGAAACATGGTAGATGAGAAAGCTCAGTCTTCCCTTGCTAGAATGAAAGTTGTTGGTTTGCTTTAAACTATTTTAAAATTGTTTGTATTTTATACTTATATCTCAGAAGATTCTGGTTAAATTATGTAGAATAGATCAATATTAAGCAGAGAACCCAAAACCATATGTCCAAAATATCTCTTCAATATACCCAAAGTTAGGGAGATTCCAAAACCAAGCCTGAATGTAGTTTGTTTTTTTAATTAATTTATACTTCACCCTATAGTAAAAGGGTCTGAAGAGTCTTCCAGAAAAATGAACAATGCACTCAAGGCTAAGAAGTGGGGTTGAAAGGAGGAGTCTAAGATGTCTTCAGCTGAGCACAGTTTTACACTGCTGTGAGATTCTGATCCATTCATCCATCTGACAAAAGCACTGGAACAAACTTCTGCCTGTGACAGAAACTCCTTCTTGTCTACCCAGTATCTATTCTCTCCTTCCTTCCTAACAGAATGTTAGTCTTCTTTTAGACCTTCATTCATTGTCCCTTGCGTCCAGGAGTACCCAGTGAGATGTAAATGAATGTAGGAGTATATAAAGGGGCCTCTTCCAACAGGGAGGACCTTCTGCCATCCATTTTTCCTTCTTTCTGCCTAAAATGTGTCACATTGCTAGATTTAGCAAATAGGAATAAAGGTTGCCTAATTAAATTTGAATTTCAGACAAAAATTAATTTCTTAGTGTAAGTTTGCCCTACACAGTTTGAAACATACTTATACTAAAAAACCAATTGTTAGGTAAAATTCAAATGTAAGTGGGCATCCTGCATTTTATCGATTTTATCATGTCCCTAAGAATGTGATCGTGAAGACAAGCTCCATCAAACAACAGAAAGACAACTTACTGCCAAGAGCTTCACATTAAGGATGATAGAAAAAAAATATGGGTGAGCCCAGTCACAGAAGGCCAGAGAGTACCACATAACCCACGTTCTTTCCTCGGAGCTTCCTCCCCATGAGACAGAGATTTATCCATTATTTGGATTTGTTACATGTAGCCAAAATCAGTCCTAACTAGTAAACCAGCATTTCCACATTTCTTTTCTTCTCCCCAGTGACCATTTGTATGCATTTGAGATTGATATTACCAATTGGAAGAGGAAAATAAACCCCTACTGTTATGTGGTCCCTTCCTACAGCCTCAGAAACAGCTTGAACTCTGGGGAGAAATATAAAAATGGTATCTAAATCCTTTAGGCAAAGAGTACCTAAGGTCTCCCAAAAGACCACCAAGCAATGAAGAGATTTCTTTCAAAGGGCCACCATGAATATATTGTGTTTGAGGAGGTTTGTCTTAGGAAAGCTGTGAAATTAGGCAGAGATAAAGAGCACTAATGAAATTCTACAAAGAAAAGTAAATATATTAGAAACATACAATTTTATTTTATCTTATCTCTGTGTGATACTGTGCATTACATTAACAATTCCTGAATATTTAACATATATCAAAACCATACTAAGCATTTAATACATTTTTATATACATAAGTGTTATATAAGCTTCACGTTTATCCTATTAGATTGATATTATTATTATTATTATTATTATTTGGTACTGGGAATTGAACTCAGGACCTTGCACTTGCCAGGCAGGTGCTTATGCACCTGAGCTATATCCCCTGCCAAAGACTGATATTATTTGTAGTTCCATTTTGCATATGAGGATATTCAAGGCCCAGAAAGAAAAAGAAACTTCTTCTAAATCAAAATGCAAGGAAGACTTGTAGCAGAAATTTGAATACAGGTCCTTAGCTCCAAAGCACAGGTTCTACAACCTTAATCCTCAGGTTCAAGATACTATATTATAAAATATTATAAATTTAAAATACAGTACACACAGAGAAAGATACTTCATCTGATATATTGTGTATTTTTTAAAAGCCAAAAGAATTTTGAATAATTTTATGATAAAGAAATGATACTTGAGGTGGCAATTAAGTTGACCATGATTTGAATATTATACAATGTGCATGTGTTTTGAAACATCACATAGTACTCCACAAATAAGCATAATTTTTATGTATTTGTTAAAAATTTTTAAAACATGTATAGGAACAACCAACATAGTGAAAGGGGTCATACTCCCAAAATTGTTATACAGATTTAATGCAATCCCAATCAAAACACCATTAGCATATCTCACAGAACTAAAGAAAATGTTCCTGAAGTTCATTTGAACCAGAAGAGACCTAGAATAGCAAAGCAATTCTGGGCAGCAAACGCGAGTCAGGGGGCATCACAATCCCAGACTTGAAATTATACTACAAAGCCACTGTGATAAAATCAGCATGGTATTAACAAACAAAACAAATCAGACTTGAGGATCAGTGGAACAGATTGGAAGATGCAAACACAATTCCAAACACACTCAGCCACCTTATCTATGACAAAGGTGCCAAACATGTTCACTGGAAGAAAGATTGCCTCTTTAATAAATGGTACTGGAAAAACTGGCTTTCCACATGCTGAAGACTAAAACTAAACCTATGTCTATCACCATTCACTACAATAAAATCAAAATGGATCAAAGATCTAAATATTAAAACAGAAACACCAAATCTACTGGAAGAGAAAATGGATAGAAATCCAGAAGACAGGTGTAGACAGAGACTTTTTGAACAAAATCCAGATCACATGGGAAATATTACAAAGAATCAACAATTGAGATCTCATCTTATAAAGCTTTTGCACAGCAAAAGAAATCACCAACAGAGTAAAAAGACAACCACAGAGTGGGAAAAAATTTTAGCCAGTTATCCCTCAGGTAAAGGACTTATATCTAGAACATATAAAGAATTAAAAATATTCAGACTTCCAAATTCAAAGACCAATCCCAAAATGGGCATCTGAGATGAATACACACTTGTCAGAGGAAGAAATATAAACAGCAAATAAATACATGAAAAAATGTTCAACATCATTGTCATTTGAGAGATACAAATTAAAACAACACTAAAATTTCATCTCATTCCATAAAGAATGGCTATCATCAAAAAATAAACCAGTCACAAATGCTGGCAGGGTTGTAGAGAAAAAGGAACACTTCTCCACCATTGGTGGGAGTATAGATTAGTGCAACCACTATGAAAATCAGTCTA